GAGATGCATATAAGTTAGTTTGATTTACAATCTCGTCAATCATTTCATCGTCAACGAAAGTTCGGGAACAGTTATAAGGCGATAAATTATTGATAAGTATTGCGGCACAATTTCCATGTAGACCACCCTCTGCAGTGTATTCAAATTCTTGGTGATTTCCAACTGGCTGCGTGCACGTATGGTCTAGTAGATTTTGGTCAACTTTATTGTCAGATTCCTGCATACCTTCAGTACTTAGTGGTTGAGCTTGCACTAAGGTTTCAACTTCAAAGAATTCTTCGAATTGCTCGTTCTGTTCACATGGTATGGTTGTGGCGTTAGCGGCTTCAATTTCTTTGTATGAAACATCAGTTGAAAGTGACTTTGAACAGCATGGCTGATCCAGAAACTTAATTTTTCCTGGGTTCAATTTCTTTGAGACAGTCTTACTGGGTTGCAATTTGCGTTTAGAATTAGTTTTCTTTTGTACGGAACTTTCTGATTCTGAGAAATCTGAACTAGAGAATATTTCTTCATCACTAGATGGCAAAAACGTGGGGTCAAGATCAGAGTCAATTGAACAAAATGGATCAGATTCGTCACCTGAAAACAATAAACAAATCTATCTGAAAATATCAATTTTAGTATAAATAATAGTTATTACCTGACGTTTGGCCATCTTTTAAAGCTAGTTCAACAATTTTTCTACTTCGACTACTCATCGTTACACGTGCGCAACCAAAAGCGATCAAAACAAGACTGATATTTCTCAGCCTGACAAGTTACGACTCGAATAATACGACCGCCATCAAGACGACCGCTGGCAGCAATGATATAAATATGCCGCCTGTGCCCTGGCGGGCGTATACGACCGCTGATGTTTTTTTTGAAAATTTTTACTATTTTGATGAATTTTTTACAAAAATTTATAATTTTTTTCTAAAACGGCATTTTTATCATCTTTATGTACTTGGCGCCTGGGGTATTTTTTCTCGTCCATGTATGGCAGTCAACCTGAGAAATATTCACTGATCCTTAAACATGAGCTTTTACATCGGCAATTCCGAATTTTTCTGTTTCTGAAGCCATTACGTGATATCACCATTTCCACAGAAAATACACCTTTATATCTGACAGCTTCGACGTTATATTTGCTATTCATCGTTCCGGTAAAATTGACAAGGAAATACACACATATACATTCTAAAATATTCACTGTCCAAACAAATGAACGCAACGGCTAGTGAACAAACATGAAAATAATATAAAATGCAGCTTAGCAGTGATACAAATACTGCAATAACATATATATTCAGTGAACCGTATATGGGCAATATTATCGACGATGCAGCAGCCAGCGCTATTCGGAAGTCGCATCCGTCTCTTCCCAACCCCCGGTTTCCGGTGTGACCTCCGAGAATGGAAAATATCCACATGGTAGTTTACGGTAGAATGCCCATCACGCCACCTACAACATTACCCTGGCCTCATATCTCGTTCTGCCACCGACATCGGTTCTAGTGCTGTTAAAGCGAAGCCTCCAGCATTTTCATACAGCCATTTCCGCCTTTTATAATCCATTAATATTTCTCTATGCGATGGCTGGAATTACCTGGATACGAATCTCGACATTGTTTCAATGAGCCATTAAGTCTAGAACGGCTACAAACTGCGCTGACTAAAAAGTCAAAATGTAAAACCTTTATGGAGATTATATTCCGAACTAATTTTGACAATGAGTTATTTTCAAAGTTTCAGCAGATGGTTAGAATATCGCATTCTGAATATGTTCCAGGCGACCTAATGGTTTGAGGTGCATGATTTTTGAAGTAGTTGAGCTTTCTATTGGAGATATTTCGGAGAATCGTGTATAACGCGGATATCGAAATACGCCAATCTGGCGAGGGGCGAACAATGATTAAGAAAATGGTATTAAAAAATGTTTTTGCTCCTTCTTTTTCTCACGTTTCATGCTAAATCTAGAATATAAAGAATTTACAAAATAAGTAGGAGGAGGACCTTTTTGAAAAGCGCTGTATCGACGGTTCAACAGCAGCCATTTGGAAGTCGCACTGCAATTTATCATTGGAAAACTTCTAGTAGTTAAAAGTTAATGCCTGACAATAACAAAATGAAAGCGTATGATGCGTAACGAATTTCACACCACTGGCACTGCCTTTGAATACCTTGGCCATAATGGATTCTTCAAGGAATTGTACCAGAACCGTTTTGATTCTACGTAACGGCTTCGTGTGACTTCAAAACCGTATGCGAGTGGCTAGTGGGAGTACAGAACGATACTGGTGTTGTTCTCCGAAGAAACCCGAAATAAACTGCAATACCAGCGGCGTATGATGCGGAACTTTTCTTTTTTCTATTTTGGCACTAGAGTGTAGTGGAATAGGAACGACTGAAAACTGTTTTAATTCAACGAATTCTAATAAGTTTTGCGTAGTTTTAAGTGCACACATTTGACTCATTTGTCTACCAAAGTGCCAGCGTTGTATCAACATAATAATACTAATACTAACCTGTGGACTCATCTCGCTTTATTAGGCTTGTGCCGCTATTTGCAAATCATGTGAAAAGTACCATGTCTTGAAATCGTCTAACACTACTTAAAAATTAATACTAAATATATATAATTCAACGACAAAACTGTCAAAAACTGTCAAGTGCACTTTGATCCTTACTATAGACTGACAATAAAGATGCAAACAAATCCTTGACTGGCTACTTCTACCTATACCCCATTCGTAGTCCATTTACGCCCAAACAAATCACAACATGCCTAAAAGCGAGATTGTACTCAATGGTCTTGGAATAATCTAACAAAATAAATGATTATTTTTATAGAAAGACGTGCACATACTTTTCACAATTCTTTATTCGCTGGAAGTACTTGAATCATTGTCCGAATGGTTAATATTAATTATTACAGTTTCAATTTGAATATCGATTATATTGTCCGGATCCCACATCTTTATTTCGATTGTATCTTGAATGTGACGGATGCAATCTTTCCAATAGTTTGCCGTCACTCTGTTGACAGCTTCATAAAACAAATTTTTCACGTCAGCAAATTTGAACGTTCTATTGTTTGAAGCCACATAGTTTTTTACATTTGCCCAAATCATTTCAATGGGATTCAATTCGCAATGTTAAGGGGATAGCCTTAAACCGTCTTATTTTGGCTTTTAGCCATTTCGTCAAAAACATTCAGATTATATTTATATTTGTGCTGCCTGCCTAGATGGATTAGTTCTGCTTTGACCATAATTTCATTGAAACTAATGTATTTTGATAGGAGCCATTGTTGAATTTCTGCCTTTCTTGTGGACATTGTGTGAATTTTTTCTAGTTGGTATGGTATGGAGCATTATCAAGTACAATGACGGCATTGTCATCAAGCTTTGGGAGCATTTCTTCAAACCATCGTTGAAATGAACTCCCGTCCATTTCTTTATGGTAGTCGGTCGTTTTCGTTGACTCGAATGCCCATAGGGCAGTGGGCACCAGGCCACCTTCACTGCCAATGTGACAGATAACAAATCGTTTTCCTTTTTCTGGAAATAATTATTTCATATAATATTCAAAAAAACTAATAATAATACAAGCAGAGTATCTAATATGTGCTGGTTCCCAACCTACCAGATGTAGCTAAGTTTAGTGTAGCTAAGTCTTCAGCGTGGGCTCATAGATTCAGTCTACTTGACGCCATGTTTACAACAAATGACGAATTGGTTAGATACACGTACCTGACGGATTCTTTAGGCCAATGGTTAGTCCATTTAAGAAGGCTTGTCTTGCTGATTTGATTGTAGAGTCAGCCCATACTTTAGGTTTTGTATGTCCTGCGTTTATCCAGGTTTCATCAAAGTAATAAATCTTCCTGCCCTGGTCGCGGTATTTCTTTATTGATTTTAAATAATTTCTTCTTCATAAAATAATCTCTTGGCTGTCCATCAAAATACTATTTCTGCCCCGTTTTCGATACTCAAAATGAAGTTCTTGAGTAAACTATAGAATGTGGTACTTTTGAAAGTTGGCAAGTCTTCATTATTAACCTCCTGTAATACTTTGTCTATGGTGGGAAGTTCCTGGCTTTCAAAAATTGATGGACTTTGTGTCTGATGGCATTTTTGTGTGCTGGAGACAGTTTTTTGTTTTTTTTTTATTTTCTTTAACAATGTTGAAAATCATCTTAGGACATAAGCCTGTTTTGTTCGCCTCACGTCTTACAATATCATGAATTTTCATTTGAAGATGCTCTAAAATTTCGCTCTTATAAACGTTAAGGACAATTTATTTTGCCTAAACATTCAAATGTCCCTTCTTGTCACGTTTTCGGGTAGCAGACATCAATGAAGTAAGCATTGGGAGAAATACTCTCAGTTTCATCTGCTGTATCTGTAGACGACATGCTAACGTATAAACACACGCTAGTTATGCACCGAATATGGAGAGCAACTGCCGGCGTCGGCGTGTCGGCGATATCCCGAGCCTGAGTTCTATCCTGTCGAATCCTGCACTTGTTCGTAGTTTTATGGCCGAATGACCAATAGCTATTGCAACGCTTAGGCGGCTGACGCTTTGCCGCGCTGCATCTTTGTTATGAATGAATTTGTATTTTCATTTGGTCTTAAATGGAAACAGATGGTAGGCGATAATTGTGATTTTCAAACGGTGCTGAAGGATTTTAATGACGACTATTAGTTTGACTATAAGAGCGGTTCTCGATTTCTTGAATTTTTGTGCCTTTTCTGATGGACAACAGTTTTACGTCCAGTGGTGCTCGTGTGGGTTTAAGCTCGATAGTTTCAAGGAAACAAGTGCGACCCCACCAGTTTTTTTCATAACAAAATATATTATTTTCATAATTATGATCCACTTCTCACCAAGTTTGGTCTCTTGTTTCTTTTAACATCAAATTACAGTTTTCGCGTAAAAAATAAAAAACATAATTATATTTATATTATTTGTTGTTATAATACTAATAACAAAAATAATATTCATTTCAGCAATTATAGCAGAGAAATTTACATTGCTTTTACGCAAAAACCGTAAGTCGGGGGACGCCAAGCGATCGACTAAGGAGTTAGTAAGTTTTATAAAAACAATTTTTGTCATAGAGGAAGGTGGTGATATACTATAATTTTCTTTAAAACTATCTAGTTCAAATGAATAACTTGACCACCATAATATATATTTCAAAATTTAACATCATATATTATGTTCATATAAAGTTGGTTTTCTTAAAATGAACTCGAGAATTGCCACCTTACCATAAAGCATTGTATGTACTGGTATTGTTGGGTATTGAATTATTATGGAACTAGGGGTTTGTCACGAAGATGAAATGGTATCCTTACAACTGGTTTTGCTTTTTAGTATCCGCAAAGTAAAAGCCCTGGATGAAACTTTTTTATTGAAATTATCTGCATTGCTTGAAATTTCTATGAGAAATACATAATGAAACATTTTTAGATAATTGCAATATAAACTGTGATGTTCTCGGCAATATGAGTTCTCTTCATAAAATCACCGTCGCGTCGTTCGCCATAATTTGAAATTTCCTTTTTCGATTTCCTAACTCATCCAGAGGATATGAATTAAATGATAACTTTTCTAGGATGGAGAATTGGGTAAAATATATATGAATAAGGGAAATTGTCCAGAGCACCGTCCCACGATTAGGAAGCTGAACTGGAGGTATAAGGCTTGTTCTGGTAACGAATCTATGACGGTTGTGGACGGTTTAGAACAGTTAACCAAGAAGGAACTGACGTTCTTTTGACAATTTATTTGGTCGATTGGAAATTTCTGTTGCTTATCGTTTAAAAATCACTGCTAGAAGATGCCTAATTTACCTCCATGAATGAATAAAGCAAAATTATTTCCTCTTCTTTTCATGCAATGCATAACGACTACATCTCCCAATCACACATTGCTACTACTTTTCAGCAGGTAACAATAGGGCATTTTCAAAAAAAAATTTGAACCATCATTATACTGCTACAAGGTATATATTAGCATTGATTAACGTATTATACCTGGAGACAGCCAACCTAATGCTATATTCCAGCGTCCAAAAAATGATCTATGAAAATGTGTCAAAGCTACTTTATATTTTTTGAAAATGTTTATAGTTTCCACGTCTTAGAAACAACTTCTGGTACAATTTTCCGTCTAGTGCTATGGCACCAAAAATTCCCTCAGATTGCAGCAATGAGCGTGTCCGTACCTACATGGTAGTCTCACTTCTTTGAAGCTCTAGTCTGAAAATTTTATCAGCAATGTTTCATAACTGATTATAATAGCTCTTGATACATATTTATATACCTACTATATATTACCTCACGAAATCAAGTAACCTCATTCAATTATGCTCCAAGCATAATGCTCGTATACAAATACATAGATACCATCGCGCCCATGTTTCTTAAAAAAAAGTTCTTGCTCTTTCGTGGCAAATTTGGCCCTGCTCACCTATTTCACGAGTAGAATCAGTACGATCATATTCTACGTACGCTATGACGTTTATTCCGTCTTCTTCGCTATAAGACCATTACCATTAACAGGATCGTTATGTTCATTTTTCAAATATTCTAAGAGCCAAGGATAATAGGCGTGTGATGGAGCTTGACGATGTGGAAACCGCTCCTGATATAATCTTTTTTTTTTGGCATTCACCATAAGTAAGGAGCATGCCGATTTGATGATCTCTTAAATAATTCAGTTAACTATTTAATTGATTTCAAAAGAAATAAAGAAATAAAATAAAAAATATTACACGATGCTGACGCGTGGAAACGAGACTGATAGTTGACAGTAATTTCAAAGGCTTCCGCGTTCATTTGTTTCCAAAGCATCCCCAGATCTCCGTGCAAACCAGTGAAATATTCGTCCCTGTTGATTATTACAATTCTGGCTTTTTAAAATAAAGAAAAGAAAACAAAATAAGTATAATAAAAAATGAAAATTATAGATATTTTCTGTCACGTGACTAGGTAAATACCTATTAACTGTGCTTAGGTAATAACAAATACTAATTTGCTAATTAGTTATAATGCATGATATAGCTCTCCAAAATTTTCCAGCTTTTTTTCTCCAAGACAAGTTCCTTATAGTGAATTTTTTTTAGAGATGATCCGACATACTTTATTAGTGGTATTTAGAATTCTGAGAAAATTTCAAATACATTTTGACATTTTAAGCAAAAACTAAAATGGGCGCAAATTTATGTTATTTTTTGGTTTTGCCAACTCAATGCAGAAGTTGCATTTTGCCTCTTAAATTAGCGGAAAGTTTGGCAAAAAATCCATAGGTACTGTCAAACCGCCGCCATATTGAATTATGCGTAAATGTCATTTACGCCGTCATTTTCCAAAAGAATGACAACTTGTGATACATGATTGAAAAGGGAATTTTAATCTTTATGAAAATATGTAAAAATATATATACAGGTTCTTATTTAAAATTCTTGCTTCATACTCACTTCCGGTCAAACCAGAAGCGATATTCAGTTGGTTTCAATGGATAATCTGAGATTTTATAAGTCATATTTTCACACAAAATTTCAAGGTACTTCTTTAAACAGCAATTGAATAGAGCTTTGTAAAACGTATTTCGTTGACACCCAGTATATTGCTGCAGTACTAAACTGATAAAAAATCGATCCGGGTGTTACAAATAACAATTTCACAAAATAATTTCGTTAAAAGTTATGTCGTTTGTAGTACAGTTTAAATATACAAAATTACAGATAAAGTAAATTATTTATCATCCATTTATAATCCTCTCACGAATTTATTTTGAGCGTTATCAGAATCATATTGCACCATTTTCACACCGCAGGCAGCTCGCAAACAAACGTTTATGTTTGAACGCATTCAAATTATTTTGTTTGCTGCAGTGGTTGAACGTATATTTGCAAAATAACCTATAGACAAGTGACGCGAAAAGTTTACACTATTTTGCACCTGATTTATGTCTTTCGCGACTAGCCATATTCACGCAGTAGCCAGCCAAGTGCATATTTGGCGCATAGCCGCGTATAGCATCAAAAACGGATTCAGCCTTTGCGTCAAGGAGGCTCACTTATGTCACAGTGGAGAATTCAGGAAGACACCTAAAGGGGTGAGCGCAACGGTGGTCGCGCTGATTGAAATTTGAAATGCTGAGGGGTCATCTGCGATTGAAATTTGAACAGAAGCGAGGTGATAGCTGCTGCACCAGAAGCCAAAAGAATGTTGGTAATCAATCTCGATTCGACCGGGAGGGATGATACCCCCCCCCCCCCCTAGATCCACCTTTGCAAAATATACGGTGCAAAGCGGCACTAAAGCGGCGTATACCGTGGCACACTAAGCTACAGCTTAGCTACGGTGTAGACTTGTCACTTATTATTCAAGATTGACCATGTTTACACCATAGATAGCCTTAGATACAGTGGAGCATATGACACTTGAGTTAGGGGGGCCCATAGCCCCTTTTCGACTTTTTCCATCGACATGGACATAAATTTTTATATTTTCACCTATATCAGTCAATACGTTGCTAAATTGCTACTGTACCCCAGAGCCAGACTACGTTAAGTCCATTTGTGTCAAAAATGAGTTTAATATGTTAAGCTTAATTTTCATAAATCGCCCTGTATAGGGCACTGATAGCAGCTGTCCCGTAATTTCGATCCGGAAAATTTTTTAGACGAAAAGCGAGATAACCGAGGTGTTTAATATGGAAACTGACCCAGGGGGGTCAGGAAATGGCGCTTCCACCATGGCAATGGAGATGGAGTCGAAGGAGCAGACCATAGAGGAGCTGAGAGCCGAATTGGAGATGGTTCGACAGGAGCTGTCAAAAAAGGACGATGATAAGAAGACCAATGAAAGATTGATGATGATCATCGAAGCCCAGCAGCGGACAATTACCGACCTAACAGTTAAATTAGACCTCCTACTGAAAACCCAGGTACCTTCCCATCTAAATATTACAAATTCTTCCCAAACACTTCCCAAAAATCCCAGTAAAGACAAAGCTGTCAATCTTAAGAGACCGTTAAATAACTCAAGCGATCTTTCCACAGACGACGATACATTCCCTGACGGTTTTACCAAGGTTAAGCCCCGTAAAACGCGACGAAACAAGACCGACACGACAGGCTTTCCTCCTCTCCCTTCACCAAAATCGCAGTCTGAAACATCTCATTCAACTGCAAGCGACTCGAATAAACAGCCTCTGCCTAATCTATCGGATACTTCCACGCCTTCGACATCTCAGGTACCAGAAGACACGACTGCACAGCCCCCACGCAAGGTACGTGTTACCCCCATCGTTCTTCGTGATGCTTCGAGATGGCGAGGCGTAAATCACAAGTTTATTTCCTTGGGCATCAAATTCGAACGCGCGGTTGCCGTTGATGCAGGAATCAGGATAATTCCCAAGTCCGAGGATGATTACCGCAGGATTATTCGTCTCTTCAGGGAGGAAGAGGTGCCCCATCACACTTTCCCTCTACCCTCCGAGAGGAACATTCATGCTGTAATCAGAGGAGTACATGCGACACTTTCGGAAATTGAGATCAAGGAAGAGTTGCAACAGAGGGGATATTCCCCCCTGCACATAATTCGCCTGAAACGCGGTGGCGGCGTGCCCATGCCTTTGGTGGTAGTCATACTGCCCAAGATAGAAAAATCTCAGCAGCTGTTCAACGAACACGAGCTGCTAGGTTTGGCTATCCGAGTCGAAGTTCAAAAGAACTCAAGACTCATCGGGCAGTGTCACCGCTGCCAAAAATATGGGCATGCGCAATCTTACTGCACTGCACCACCTAAATGTCTAAAATGTGCCTCTGACCACATGACCCACTTATGCCCTCAAACAGAACAAGAGGAACGAAAGTGCGCGAACTGTGGAGGGGGGCATCCAGCGAATAGCCGAACTTGCAGATTTGCCCCTAAGAAAAATCTGCAAGTGATAGCGCAAAGGCGCAATGTAAGTTACGCGGATGCAGCTAGGGATGCAACCCGGGCTGCCCCCTCTGTGGGATCTTCTGCGAACACGCAAAATGTGGACTTGGCAACCGCGCTAAGGTCCTTACAGCAGATCATAGGTCCTCTGATTAGCGCAACACAGGCTTTGCAGGCGATCTTTCCTGCAAATGGCTAGGTACAATCGACGACAGCCTGCATTTATCAAAATTCTTTTTTGGAATTGTTTGGGTCTAAGGGACATTCCCAAAAGACGGGAATTTCATCAAGCTCTTGTGGACGAAAGTATAGATGTGGCCTTGCTGCAGGAAACATTACTTAATCCGGGAGATCGTCTAGCTTTCCCGAATTGCGATGTTATCCGGGCTGATAGATTGACTGGACGGGGTGGCGGCTTGGCAGTGCTAGTGAAACGCGGTATTGACTACCACAGAAGCACAAACGCTGACATGCAGAGCATCGAAGCGGCTTCCGTGGTGGTCACTATGACGGGAGGTGTGCCGTTAAAAATCACATCGGTGTATGTCAGGTGTGGTAACAGGCTGCAAGAGGCGGATCTGGAAGTCCTTTTAGACTACTCGGGTCCACTTATTGTGGCAGGGGACTTCAACTGCAAACATCGAGCATGGCATTCCAGGTTGAATTCCACCAGTGGTATCCGACTGTACAACCATGTGATACGAAATGGCTACCTCATACATAGTACTGAGGAGCCGACGCACCACCCATTTAATCACCTTCAGGCACCTGATGTTCTTGATTTGGCATTATCCAAAAACTGTAGCTACAGCATCACTTCTCGAAT